CACATTATATAAAGGAAGTTGACGAAAGACATCAATTTGGAACATTGATTAGGATTATTTCACACAAGGCAATAACCAAAAGGAAAGTCAATTGGGCTCAGTGTCAATGAAAACAGTGTTTAGGTGAAACTTTATTGTCAATATTTTACTATTGATTGCCCTTTCAAAAGCTCCGTCTAGAAGTGTGTCTTAAACTTCTGATGTAGTTTACATTTCTGTTTCTGTCACCGCTAAATACATGTTCCTAGACACCTATATCATGAAGTTTCAACATTCTTTGACATCCAAAAGTTTATAAATTTCGGAAATTCTCAGGTGATTGTCCATGATGTACAGTCTCAGGTGACCGCAAGTTTTTGAGGGTGTGGTGTGGTTCTTGTTCATTGCATGTGCCGTGAAACCATAAATTTTTCAAAGTAAAGAAACTAAGCTAAAATTGTACACAAAAACGTAGAAGTATTATTCTCATAAGAATTATTTTAGATGATAATTTGTTACTCCATTATAATCTTTCAACACAATCTAGGTATAGGTCACTTGGGGTCATGGAGTTGGAGAAAATGGTAAGCTGGTCTTATTTGGTGGGCTGGACTGGATTGGATATATTCAATTAAAATGGATATGGGTCCAGTAAGTTATTTGGTGGGCTTTAAGTGCACAACAGACTGGATATGGATCTTGTATATTAGTCCATAAAAATAGGGGCTTTGTAACCCATCGTTAGAAGTGACCATCGATAGAGAGCACGCCTCCTTAGGCCCTGTTTGGGATTGTTTTTTTTGGCCAAAAACCTGCTTCACTTTAAAGTTAAGCAGTTTAAGGTATTTGGTAAAAATAAAATATCCGGATTATTTTAAAAGTAGTGGCCTTTTGACAGCAGCTTTTAAAAGCAGGCTTTGTGTTGCTTTTCAAAGCTGCTTTCAAAAAAAGCAGAGATGAACTTTTAATGAATTTTTTTAATTCCCAAAATACCATCATTCATTTTAAAAAATGACACCACCTTCACTTCCACATCCAACTCCACCACTTGCACCACCACATTCACTACCTCTATCACCACCACCACATCATCCTCATCCTCCGCCACCACAGCCATAACCACCTCCTCCTCCACCACCTTCACCACCACCTCTTCCATCTCCACCTCCACCACCACCTCCTCCACCTCCACGACCACCACGACCACCACCACCACAACCACCTCCTCCTCCAAAACCTCCACATCCACTACCACCTCCACAACCAACACCACAACCACCACCATGCTGCCACCACCACCACCACCACCACCACCACCACCAACTCCACCTTTATCACCACCACTACCTCCACTCCATCACTACCACTACCACCACATGATTAGTACATAACACTTTTAACATCATGTCTATTTTAGTCATTATTCACAGTTACAACAATTTTATATTAAAATTTACCAAACGGTTTTGACATTGCTTTTTGTACTAACAACACTTTAAAAATATTGTTTACCAAACATGAAGCTGCTTTACTTTACAGCTAATTATTTTCAAAGCACTACAGAAACAACTTTTTTTAAAAGTGACAGCAATTCCAAACTGGGCCTTAGCCTTCTCTCTTCTTCTCTCTTCTCTTCTCCTCTACTCTCTTGGTTTTATCTCTTCTTGGTTTATCTCTTCTCCACTCTCTCTTCCCCTCTGCCATATCTTCTCCTCTGTCATATCTAGTTCAATCTTGAAGCCATTGATGCAGATATGAGAAGCTTCAGTTTTTTCATTAAAAAAAATGTAATACCTTGACCTCAGATCTTGGATGAAAGGCATATGGTGGAAGAAACAAAATGGTGAAAGGAAGATTCAAAACTTCTTCCTCTTTATTTATATATATTCTTTAATTTTGCAATTTTTGTGGTTATTTTTTTTTTCTTCTTCTTCTTTTAGATATGAAGGGAGGTAGCAGAGAAGAAGAAGTCTAAAGATGAGCGATGACTTATTAGAAGTTTGAAATTCATTTGTTTTTTTTTTTTTTGGATTGAAAATCAATTTTGTTGTAATCAATTTGGGAATGAGAATATAAAAATAAAAATAAAAATAAAAATGAAAAAATGGTAGTCCAAACTAATCTCAACTTCGGTGTTGTACTGTACTAAATAACTGTTTAAAATCCAATCATATCCCAATCAGTCTAGTATAATATAAATAGATTAATCTAATCCAGTCCTGTCTAACTTACCAAACATGCCAAAGGATTAGGGAGTTAGACAAAGAGGTGAAATGAGAGTTAGTTGGTGGTTGTACATTTTTGGGTACCCAACATATTCACTTTTAATTTTTTTGGTAGAAGTCATTGAGTCTAGTGTTGTAATTTTACAGATGATTATATAATTGTTATTTTCTTATAAAATAAAATAAAAATTCAATGGATGTCCAAAGACCAGCTTGAGTGCATATAGAATTCCTCTTCCTGTGCTGCAAAATCCCATTGTTAATGTTCCATTTCTCTTGACCAATTGAATAAAACGTGCCCAATTGAACCGGATGGTGTTGTTGAAGCATAGAATTGAATAAAACGTGCCCAATTGAACCGTATGCAAAATGTATTAAGGCTAGGAACAAAAACAGTATCTTGGCCAGAAAAGAATATTTTCCATGATTTCCAAGGGAGAAATCCACCTGCTATAAAAATTTACGAAGAATATAATGTCAATTAACTTGACAAAAAACAGAGAGTTTTTCGATCTAAGCAGAAAAAAAAATTAAAATTATAATAAGAAACAGAGTTTTTCAGCCCTCGAAAAATAACTTGGTAAAGCAAAGGATCTGAAGCATAGCGCATCTAGGACATTTGACGTATTCTTTGATCAAAACAAGCCCTGACCCTCCACATACCTCACATCTTTTCTGAGCTATCTAATATGCATAATCAACAATACCATATTATACACTAAAATAAATCATTAATTGGAAAAAAAAAAAAAAAACTCATTAGCTCATACATGAATTCATAAACTCTAGAAAACTTACAATTCATTTGCTGAATCCATCGACGGTTCAGAAGACGGTGAATCGAAGACCGGTCTGACCTAGTGCTATCAGTCCGGATTCGGATCGGTTTTGGGTCAAAAATTCCACCCCCTCCCTTATTATATATCATTAATTTTATGCATGTTATTTAGTGATTTAATAATAATAATAAAAATTTCATTTCCTGTAATTCATTTTTGTTTTTTGTTTTTTGTAATGAGTCGATTTATAGGAGTATATAATATAGGCAAATTGCGTGTAATGATTGAATTGATTTGTTAGTGTTGCACTTACCAAATCACAAGATGGATGAGAAATTACTTTACTTTGACAAAACTAAAGCGGATCTTCTTTTGGAATTCATGAATATTATTGGCGCTTCAACATAATACAGTACGAAAATACATACTTTTGCAACGGTTTATTCAAACACACCATTTTGTGATTTTACGTCATCGCTTTCTTCGAACCACTTCCACAAGCCAACTTGGTGTTTCATTAGAAAGTACAAGATATCCCACTGAGGTTCCAATTACCACCCCAAATGCATACCCCATCAACACTATCTTCCAATCAAATACACTCCCATGCTCCAAATCATCTTCTTGTTGTAATGATGATGGCACTGATTGATATGGACTACATTTTTTTGCAACTGGAAATCCACACAATTCGACATTTCCACTATACTAATCATTTTCAAATGTATCAAATTGCTTGCCATGAGGTGTGGGTTCGACAAGTTAGTTTTCTGAAACGTTGAACTTTTCAAGTGATGTCTAATTTGCCAATTACGCTGGAATATTACCAATACGTCTGTTTGAAGAAAGATATAACCATTCAAGATTGCTCAAATCGCCAAACGAGGGTGGAATTGTACCTATAAGCTCATTATGAGAAAAGTTAGGCAACTTCAATGACTTAAGCCTATCGATTACGTTTGAAATCTCTCATCTGAAAGTGTTGTTTGAGAAACCAATAGTTGTGAAGAAAGTCTGGATCTTCAGCATTTCAATTTCGAAGCCTTTTAATTGCCACTACTACAGTGTCCTGATAATAGTAGTCTCCCATATATTTCAATTTATGTTCTTGTAATTTTATCATAGCCTTCAAATGTTTAAAATATTTGGTTGGCAAAGGATCACTAAATTGATTGTGGGAGAGGTCAATGATACGCAATTTTTGGAATGGAAGCTTAGTTTTGGATTGCCTATTTCACCGTGGAATTGGTTAGTCCTCAAGATAAGAACTTGCAACTTTGGAAGAAATTCTAGCCAATTTGGGAATGTGCCTTGAATTTTTTTATTTCCAAGGTCTAGAACTTCCAACTCTCTACATGTGAGCAAAGATAACGGTAACGGCCCTTCCAAATGATTTCCATTAAGATCAACATTTCCCATAGAAAATGTCTTAGGAATCATACCATGAAATTTATTCTTCCGTAGATCCAAAATGGAAAGGCTCTGACTGAAGTTCCCTATGCATTAATGAATTTTACCACTCAAATTATTATTGGACAAATCAAGGATTTGAAGGATACTCAAGCTGCAAATGGCTGGCGGCATCTCTCTAGTGAATTGATTGTTTTGATATGGAAAAGAAATATGTGGAAGGTGGTGGAATTAGAAGCTCTATTTG